TTATTGGCAACATATCAAGAATTAAAATAATGATCTTTTGTCAACTTAGATAAAACCAATCATTCTCTTCCAAATATTTTCGAGTTTTCATTGTTCATGATTTATATTTGTTTGTATTTGGACATGTCGCATAAAAGAATTCATGATCGATTTCACTTCCATCCTTTAAATTCACATTTCAAGCAAGAAAATAGTCTCTAAATCAACTTGTTTTTACTTAGATCGGCACCTATTATCTGTAATTTGTTTTATGATAATTATGTTGCCAATTTGTTATTAGACGCGGAGTACCACCTGCCCTTTGCTCTAAACATGCAGTACCATTGTGCAGTACCCGTGCATGATACCTAGCTGGCCGCGAAGGTCGTTCGGTTGCTAGGCAATGAGTCACACGTTCTGTTGGAACAATTGCCTGCTGCCATCTGCCATTTTAGATTCAAAATGCTAAAAAATGAGATTGATTGGCCGGATAAAACCATTTAGAATTGAATTGAATTGATGAAGAAAAAAAAGAGGAGACTGGGGTTACTTGGGCCCTCACCGCACAAATAAAGAACTATACGGTCCATGCAGGCTATGTAGGCGTGCACGCTGCGCTGGTACATCAAATTGGCAACATATCGTAAAATGAATCACTGATATGTTGCCAATTTAATAACAAGTAAAACACGTTGATTTTGGGACTATTGTATTGCTTGAAATATGAATTTAAAAGATGCAAGGGAAATCATAAATTCTTTTATGCGACATGTCCAAATATAAGCAAATTTGTTTATTTATTTGTTTGTTTATTTATTTAAATACGGTGATTAAAAAACATGCTTTCAGCTTAGCATAGCTGTTTTGCAGCATGTCCGTACATGGTACATTAAAATACATATGAATAAACAGATAAAACACAAAAATTAAACAATAACAAATACATAATATAAAATAAGTAAATGTAAAGAAAGAAAAAAAGAAATACAAATTTAAACAAAATAAATATAATACAAGTTCAACAAAAGAAATACAAATGCAAGTTAAACATAAGGGGGAATATATATATATATATATATATATATATATATATATATATTAATGAAACTAGAAAGGGTTGGAGTATAATTGTATATACACTGTTAGAACAAGTATTACAATTTTTAATCAACTTGGTTAACATTTTAATCAGCCATGGATTACCATATGAATCACACAACTGTTGGTTAAACTTTAACCAACGGCCTGTTGATTAAAATTTAACCTGTGGTTGATTACATTTTTTAATCGTTTATTGGTTAAACAAATTTGCTCAATGTTGGTTAAAATGGTGTTGATTAAACTTTAACCTTTTGCTGATTAAAACTTTAACCTTTTGTTGGCTATTTATGCTTTGTTCGGGGCTGATTCACATGACGTTGGTTAAACTTACATGGGCCGTTGGTTAAAATTGTAACCATTGTTGGTTAATATTCTGTTTTGATTCACACGATGTTGGTTAAACTTTAGTGGGTTGTTGGTTATAGTTTTAACCACTGTTGGTTAAACTTACGGGGGTTTGGAGGTCTTATCCTCGTGTTTGCAGATAAGAAATTGTTTTAATATGATTATCATCAATGCTAAAATTGTAAGGAAGAAGTGAAATAAGGTTCTTGTTCAAATTAAAAACGTTTTGTGTCCCGGGACGCGATTATTTTTTTCCGTTCCACTAACGCGTCACATCGGCCAATTTTATTCCGCAAAGCGACTTGGTCAAAGACCACTCTCGAAAATCCCTCTCACTGTACTCTAGCTGTCTGTGTGTGAGGAAAAGAAGGGGTGCGCTGTACGTGTGTTCTATGTGCTTTGTGTTGATGTCATGTGACATTGTCATGTGACTGTGTAGATGTGGTTGCCACATCTACCTTGATAGCAGACGACGTTGCAAATGTTTATTTACAGTTCAGTTCAGTTTTATTAAAAAACACATGGCATAGTAATCATGACGAACAAACATGATAGCAGACGACGTTGCAAATGTTTATTTACAGTTCAGTTCAGTTTTATTAAAAAACACATGGTATAGTAGTCATGACGAACAAACATGATAGCAGACGACGTTGCAAATATTTATTTACAGTTCAGTTCAGTTTTATTAAAAAAAAACACATGGCATAGTAATCATGACGAACAAACATGATAGCAGACGACGTTGCAATTGTTTATTTACAGTTCAGTTCAGTTTTATTAAAAAACACATGGCATAGTAATCATGAAGAACAAACACGATAGCAGACGACGTTGCAAATGTTTATTTACAGTTCAGTTCAGTTTTATTAAAAAACACATGGCATAGTAATCATGACGAACAAATATGATCCAAATTGAGACATCAAAAAGCAATGCTTGTGAGTGGGGCCCCTGTGGAGGATGGACCTCTCAATCTCAGCGGATTGGCAAAGAGACCAACGTGTTTCAAGGATCTGCGCAATTCAAATCATGAAAGATGGTAGTATACGATCGATCATGGATACGATACAGTCTCACGCGCGCAGGGCCCCCAAAACAAGCAGGTCCCAGATCTAGAGTCCGCCAACCGAGATCAAGAAGTTCATTTACAACAACAAAAAACATGGTAATGTACAAAAATGATTACAAGGACATGGCAAGGTTGTGTAACTTAAAATACATATTTACAAGGAAAAAAGCATGTATTAACAATAACTGATTACAAGGTTATATAAATTTAAAACATTTAGAAGGAAAAAAAGCTGAATCACTGACAACATCAAGAACCCCCTTAACCCACCCCCCAGCAGACTCTTTGCAGGTTTGTTCACTTTGTTGTGGACTACTCAGAGGTCCGATTGTAGCGATCTATAAAGCTCTCAGTGACACTAGTACAATATTGCAGGTGAAAACCTATAGTTTCCTTTACTTTAGGTCTATTTGGTCTGCTTGACAAGGTTCGTCTCTATAGATCTAGCTGTAATTTGAAAAATTAAAACGAAAGCACTAATTTCATCTCGTTAAAAACGGGACTTTGATAAAAAAATGAGCTTTCAACACATCATCAAGAGTATATGCCTATGTTTCAACAAACATGAGGGTGAATTATGTTAGTGATATATTATTATTTCATATGGGGATCAGTTCTCATAATCATTTCCGGCAACTCGTAAATGCTCATGGGAATCACGATAATGTTTTTAAAATGATATTTCATCCTTTGTTTTGCATGATTTAATTTTCTATGTAATTTTTTTGTATGCACTTTGTTTTACCGAATATTTTGATAATAATAATAATAGTTCTAGTCAAAGTTATGACAATTCGAAAATATATGGAACAGAATAATGGGTTTCATTTAAATTGACAACATAATATCATTAATTGAAATTTTGATATGTTGCCAATCAATTTACTTTTATCAATTCGTCTAAAACTATTTTAAAAATCGTTTCCAATATGGATGCGTAAAGTCTCTTGCTATTTTTAATTTAATTACATTCTGTACAAAGTAAATAATTGTACTCGAATTCCAAACTGAAGTCCTGCATTTAATTGACGCTAGAATACCCTGTGAATTTGAGCTAAAACTAAGGCTCGAATACCCAGCTGAATTTCTGCAAAAAAACTAATGTTCGAAATCCCTGTGTATTAATTTCTGCACAAAACTAATGCTCGAATAACCTGTGAATTCGTGATATTATGAACCAGAGCAAAATAACACTGAGTTCCTTTAGGAAATCTATTGAATCACAATCATGGTCATATCTCAGCCAATACTTAACCATATTCAATTGGCTTTTCAATTTTGGACATTAGTTTTTTATGCTCTTTCGGAAAATGAAGAAAAAATTCCAACAACTCCAACAATAATTTTTGATGACGTCACACTTATAGAGTCACCACTCTATAGGCCCTACATAGCAATTTACAGGTAGGTCGAAGGAAAGGCCTCAAAACGGCCTGAAATAGACAAAATGGCGCCTGGACGGTCACACATGAGTGATTCAAAAAACGATGAAATCATATGTGTGGAAGGAAATGGGATAGAAACAGTCATGGACGTGGATGAGGCTCAAAAGCACTTCGTGCAAAAGGAATGGCAATTTGAAAAATAAGATTAAGTATAGAAGAAAAAAATTCATAACGTGAACGAAAACAAGGGATTGACGGAAGACGTCAATGCAATAAGAATTCAGAAACCGAACGAAAACAAGGCATTGACGAAAGTCGTCAATGCAATAATCGTGAAATACGAGAAATTAACGAGTTATAATTATTACCATTTTCCATATAGGCCGAATCATGCGGAATTTCTGTCGAACAATAAATATTTACCGGGCATATTTTCTTATCTTCTTCATCTTCTTTTTTTTCCTCTTTATTTTTCCCTTTTGTCTCCCGTTTTTCAAGAATAATCTAAAAGAGTACACATTGATCGAAGTGGTGGCAGTGACTGGCGTAATCGCTCTGTCATGTTTAAAGACATGAATATAATTCTCAAAGTGTAGTTGATTTCGGAACAACAAACACAATCCTGTGAATCCAAGGTCCATTTAATCTGACTTTCATGAAATTCTTCTTATTCTAATTTTACTTACTCTCTAATATATAGTTTTATAATTATCATCAAGACTAGGCCCCTAACTTTGTTCCGAATGATTAGTATTGTTTTAAATTTCATTTAAATTGCGTATTATAGGCCTAGTTGAAGAGTCAAGTTAAGGGGGTTATTATGCTCTCAAAATATACATGCCTACAGATTTTGAGACAAAACATCAATAGGCTTCAAAGTACTGATGCCGTAAACATAGTCTTGAAGTGCGTGATTATGAATGTATGTCGAGCTTGATATAAAGGTAATGCTTTCGTGAAATACGAATATTCACGGGGCTTCCTATATAGTACGAGATCAAATTCGTGCCGACCTCGTACATCCAAGCATCCGAGACTCCAGTTACAAACAGCTTACAGCACGTCGGTTATTCTACACCATGCTCGCTTTGATCGCGGGCTCATTTTAATTTCAGAGCGCACGCAACCACCTCTCCACAAGATTTGAGATTTGAACAAGTGTACAAGCCTTGTATGTGACCATGTAGTTCCACGCTCAGACGTACGATCGTATCTTCGCAGACAACAAAGACGCCCGCAATAACATCGAAAAATGGACTAGAAAATATTACCTCCTCCTTAAAATTCATAGCCAGGAGAGGATGGATGGGAGTTAATAAAGCCAGGGCTGGAACAGGGTGGAGGAAATTCTGAGGTGGAATAAAGAATGTGACTTAGCGAAAGGATGCTTATCTAGATGGTCGTGTCTCGGTTATCAGTCTATGCGATGAGGAGCGCTTCCCATGTCTTTATACGCAGTCGACTATAGGAGAAAAGCGCGCGGTAATGCAGCATGCATCGTGATGATGTTCCATGGTCATTTGTATACAATCGGCAGACGATTCCGGATAATATAGTTGTGTGGTGCTTGCACGGGGAGGTGGTGTGATGTACGTTTACTGATACCGTGGTGTGTGGTTGTGATGAAGAAAGGTAAGATTTATACCTTTCCTTACCATCTCTATCTCTCCCTCGCCGTCCTTGGCTATTGTTTCGCCTTTGTATTTCTCCTTTCTCTCTTTCTCCCTCCCCTTCTCTCTCTCTCTCTCCTTCTCCCCACCCCTTCTCTCTCTCTCTCTCTCTCTCTTTGGTTCTCATTTCCCCCAAATATATTATAACTCGCCCTATCTCTCTCTCTCTCTCTCCACCCTTTTTGTTCTCTCTATCTCTCTCTCTCATTGTTTCTCATTCCCCCCAAATATATTATAACTCGCCCTATCTCTCTCTCTCTCTCTCTCTTTCTCTTCTCACCGCGAAGTATAGCCTATCACTATCAGTTTTAACATTATTATTGTGTACTCTCTATCAACATGCAAAACCCACCGATACTATAATTATTTGCAAGCAAAAAGATGTCATCAGTAAAGGGATAGTTGTGTTTTGTTGCAGAGGTCGCTACACAAATTTTTGTGTGTGTGAGAGATAATGAAAAACTGAGTGTCAAATTCGAAAGAATATACAATTTAAATGACAAAATCATCTTTGATCAAAATCGGTTCAAAGACGGCTGAAATATCTTATTATAACCATTTCTAATATTTGTGGTGCATCACAAATATTTAGTAATTTTGAACCAGCCATTTAAAAACGAAATAGAGCCTTATGCGTTTTATTCCAGCCAATGCCAATATTGGCTTTTTGTTGGCTTTTTTCGTGTTGGTTATAACACGTACGACCAGCCGGTCCGTGTATTAATAACGGTCACCGTATGTTTATTGAAATTGGAGCTGAATTGGTATGATCGTATTCAATCTAAATTCACACATTTTGTGGTCTAAAATTACCTTCAAAGCAATTTAAGATTCTAAAAGGGCACTAGAAATGTCATAAATAAGAATAAGAGCAATAACCAACCATGCACTTTAAGGCATTTGCGGTCCTCAAGTTAACAAGAACTCAACTGTCCCTTTAAGCTTATTCGTCTTCAGTAAACCTTGCACAAAAAAGGTTGTTCTCTTGTAGACGGTAGATGAAAATAATGCACCTTACATGCATTGTGTTCAAAGATATCTTGATTCTGATATTTCACCGAGTGAATATGAAATAATTATAATTATCATGTGTTTTTTGCTGGATTTTGTAACAACGACTTACCAAATCACAGTAGGTATAGACCAAGAGGAATTCACTTTCATGTTTTTTATTGTTATAAATATACATGACTTGTGTACTACAATTTTGAGGGAAGAATCCACACTTTTTTGTATTTCATTTTTGTAATAGAAAACGCATAATTAGGTGATCAATAATAATATTATGTGGACCGATACTTAGGGGCGTTTGAATCGAATCATCATATATTTTAGATTTCGTTGTGGATTATAACATGCGTCATCAGTCTCGTAATTGGCAATCGAGGAACGCGATTGGTCATCTAGAGGGTGTTTTTTTTTTTTTTTTTTTTATCAATTGATACCATTTTGCTCTCCATGCATAAACATACCGCGAATATAATGCAATGCCGAAATGAAAGCCTATATACGTTTTAGCCCCCGATTGCATTTTTTCGGATTTATTAGATTTTGTGTAGCGGAAAGCAAAATACTATTGTAATATTCTGGCGCTTTCTAAGCTGTTTTAAATTTTGTTTTTCTTTCCTAAATAGTGAAGCATTAAGCGCTGGGAGCAAATGAGAGATGAAAAATGATCCAAAGTTATTACCATTAAATTTTACTGATAAAAAAATATGAAACATTTACTAGGTATAAACATATATTGTATCATGCTAATGAGAGACCACGAAACAGTAGACTTGTTGGCTAATGAAAATGTGGTTCCCTGAAACTTGTATCATAATGGGATATATTTCATTCTATAACGAATAAGGTGTTACCATGAACATCTAACCAAAACATGTCGTCCTAAAATATATCGAATGAGCAGAATAATATCGAAGGCGGCTGTGGAACTATAAATATTGGCAGGAAGAATACATGCAGGCACAACAAACAATTGTTGTTCAATATTTATAAGCATGGGTCTGAATGAACTCCATTTTCATTCTTTCCCCCTTAAAATATTGTACATCATGAGTATGATGTCAAAACAATTTTTAAAATCGCGTTGCTAAAAATTGGCATGGTCATACTTGGAACATTTGCGCATCATCGGAGTAGTAATGCACTCCCCTATATATCGAATGACAAACAAAATGAGAAAGGAAGGGAAAATTGCTATTTGTTTAACTTACCATTAACAGACAACAGCTGTGTAAATATAACTGTTGAATTAATAGTCTTACATGTATAAGTTTTTTATGAAACTGGTATGTTCAAGAGGTATGTTAGTAATTATGGAAGGTCTTTAGAGTAAATTATTTTGTCATTCATATTTATAATCATAATTTTGTGTAAAGACCAACAGTATGCGCTTTATAAGCATCGTTTTTATTTTATATTATTATCAATTGAATAATGTGAATTATAGGCGAATAAGCAACTGCTCATAATGATACTTTGAATTGAATTGAACTCTGAAACCACACAGATGGCTTATGAAATTGTATCTTTCTACAATGTATAATCATGTAACTTGAATAATCAATTAACTAAAATGGAGTTATTCTCTCAATTTATTGATATGAAGTATAGGCGAATAAGCAACTTGCTCATATAAATACATGTATAATCGATTTTTTTTCAACTCTGAAACCGCAGAGAAGGCTTTCTAGAAAGAAAAAAAGGTGATGGGATGCGGAACCCAGGGGGTTGAGGGGGCTGTAGCACTCGTATTTTTTTCAGTATATAGGCCCTATTGTATACCGTTAAGATAATTTGGCTGTAGGATGTTCTAGAATGCATAGTTTAAAATACCAACAGTTTAAATATTTCTTACTCGGTCACACAATGCATCAACATTTAAAGTATTGTGTATTAGTTTATTGATTCTGTATGTACTATGAGGCACGTGCTTGATTGTGTGAAGTGCAAATTTGAAATCGAGCCCGATAAAGGGTCAGTGATTCAAAGAGTATGAGAGATGTATCAATATCTGTAAAAGAGGCCGTCTCCCCCTCTCCTAAACTTACAAATCGCCATTAGTATCTCGATTAACGATAATCATTGACCCCATGATTTTGCCTGTATGGTCATATACTACCTAGGTCGCTGCGCTCTTTCTCCAAAAAATAAATATATATATATATACATATTACAGTATATACTACTACTACTACTACTACTACTACTACTACTACTATTACTACTAGCCTTGCTCGCAATTGGTGGCCCCTGGAGCCCTAACCCGAACCATCACGAAAATTATTCCAGAACTGAGCCTCGGGGCTTAGCCTGTTCACTATTCAGCCCCTTACTTTCAAAAACGCTCGGCGGTCCTTGAATGTATATCAAACAGATATCAATCATTTATCATTTTGTCAAATATTGATTTGATCGATATTATGCACCTGTCTAAATGTATTATGTACAGCTACCTATGTGATGTTGATGGATTACAAACGTTTTAAGTATAAAGAGCTTAATTCAAAATTCATATTTATCTGGATCTGACACATTGGAATTAAAGGCACTATATTCCATTTAAGAAAGGTAAAAACTTCGTTTGAGAATTTACGTTTCATTCCAACAGGGATTAATTCCAGTATAGCGATTACGATTGTATTCATTCAAACCACAACTTTACTTAAGATTAAGTTTAACATCCTTGTAAATATGGTGCAGTTACCAGTTTAAATGTTCAGTTCGAAATCTCAATAAATCTAATATAGATGCAAATATTATTTAAAAAAAATAAACTAAATTCTTTTTAAATAAAATAAGTCACATCCAGGATTTTCCAATAATTTCTATAATTTTATTAAACGAATTCGTTCCACTGGCTGTCTGCCCCAACGACAAAGAAATCGAAAGACGTCATGCATTGCTGATCGTCAACGAAACGGAGTTTGTTGTTTGTTGCTACATCAGGCTGGCAGTGAAAGCATTACTTTAAACAAACAGAACTTTGGTATTCCTGACAAATTTTTCGTAAGTGAGGTGTCATGAAAGATTGAAAGGGCAGAAAACGAACTTCCTAGAAATGTGATTTTCTCTTTGAAATTCAGATACTGGTCGCCAAGTGACTTTTTGGTACCCTTTCTTCAAATTGTTTTTAATCACTCATGCGTGAAACATGCATCATATGACTTGCATCAAATGAAAGAGGAGGATCTAAGCTTTAGAAATATGTGTCATTTAGTAATTATAATTGTGATTAAGTTCTGATAAAACATCGATATTTCTCGGTTTTTCTCGGTTTCGTTTTTTCTGGGACGCACTGTATATCAATAGGCACACATGCGAAGGAAAATGGCCCCACTCCATCAAAACATTTTCGATCAATGAAGAAAAAAAAAATCTTATTTTTTTAGATAAAGAGAGAATTAATGTTTCGATGTTCGGGAAAGCTCAGATAATACATGAACATAACATTATTTGACACAATGTATGAAGAACAAAAATTCAGTCCATCATTATTTTTTAGAATTAATTTAAGAACATGTTTTGATTGAGGTTGCACCCTTTCTCCCTTCACTTTTAGTATTCTCAGTATTCAGGTGCATTCACGATCTACCTATAAAGTGAAAGTAGGTGTCGCTCATAATGAATGATTATAATAGCGCACTTAATGTCATGAAACATATCCACAACACAGGTCATTAATTAAAGAACATTGAGAAGTAAAACTTGAGAAGGAAGTATGCGTGTAGCTATAATGAATGGTATAATAGCGCACTTAACACCATGCAAACACCTCCACATCAGGCGTGATAAAATTAAAATAAACGTTGTTTTTTTTTGGGGGGGGGGAGGGGCCTCGGGTGCTTTGGTTTCTTACATTCATTGTCTACACAGTCATGTGTCTAGCTTAAAGCCATTTTAATCAAGAATATTGAGAAATGAAAACTTGAGAGGAAAGACAACAGTTTTACTTAC